ATAGATAGATAGATAGATAGATAAATAGATAGATAGATAGATAGATAGATAGATGGATAGATAAATAGAAAGATAGAAGGATCGTAAAATAAGATAATAAAATAAGATACTGAAAGTATCAAAATAGATAGTTGTAGTGACATTAAATGTCATGATACGAAATATAAGTCATTAATCTCACTTGGCAAACTTTTTTAACCTCTCCGAGGAAACTTTCTGTTCAAATGAGTAGAGTTACACTACTGAAAAGTAACTGTCAGTGTTTTGACACATTGAGAGTGTACCCAGTGTATGTTTACAGCTCGGAAGAAAACATATCGCTACCATGCATCCTATTGATTTCATAGTGTTTGTAGAGTACTCATAGGTCAAGTGACTCCTCTCATTCCTCTGATTCGACTTTTATTCAGTAATCAAGATAGCAGATTTACTGTACAATACTCGTAATAAGTTATTTTACTTTTTCTTAGGAAAGAAGATTTACGACACGATTGAGTAATTGGAAGTTTCCTTACAGAGGTAACGCTATGTAACGCAATACACTACAGTGTTGATTCTCATTTCAGAGAGTGTCCATAATTAGCAAAAAAAAACCCTTTACATTGCGAGGGATAGTAAAATCAACGACCATCCATATCGAAAGCGCGAAGTTCTCAAAAATTCCGGCTTTTTTCAAATTGATCATGTTTCTAATCAACGAAGTTTCACTGACAAGCGATGACAGGCTAATTTCTTTAGTTCAGCTCTTCCTCCAAAATCTGCCTACCCCACCCAAGCACTGCGGTGCCTCTGATGTTTACGTTGATTGGAAAAGTGTTCTTCAATTGCAAAAGTTAGAGTCGCACCTAGAAATGTCGCCCAACCAGATATTTAAAACACGAAGTAAACACATGTAGGATAACTATTCCCAAGTAGCACTATTGCCTTATGCATTTAAAATTGTTCTATCAGCTGCCACAGCTATGATGTGAAAGCAAACAGTGACTAATTTGAGCACAGGCAGACCACACTATGTGTTCGTGGTCAATAATTCTCTTGACGGCCACCAGCCAAAAGTAATTTCATATAATTATTTAGCTTTATTGAGATATTCAGATCGAGATATAATTTAGATATGCAATTTTCAGAGCTTTATTCATAACCTTCACAGATTTTGTCGTCCCATGTGAACAATTATCAACATAGTGTGGTATGCCTGTGATTCGAGCAGTGATCTTCAAACTCTGTCATAGTATGTGTAACCAGGCCTTCTGACGTAATTCCGTGGATCTTGTCCTTTTGTTACTCCATTCAACTCGCAACTCCTTGTGGGTAGTGCTGAATCATGCTGTAAGTTAAACGACAGGCACTGGGGATCAGCAAGGCACTTCTCGAAACATTCCCTAACGTCGCTAACCTGATGCTGACTCTGAGTGTGGTTACGTAATGAGTGACCTACATCATTAATAGTAGCCTGAAAGATCCCTGTAAACGGGAAAAAAGTTGCATGGTTTAACACAGAAGGGCCACGCCCTCCAGGAGAGTAAGGAAACTGTCACATGCATGTTAACAGGAGATTATTATCTTTTGATGTTTAGTAAAGGTAGTAATATGATTTCGAGCGGAATTTGGTGTTTATAAGCACTAGCAAATTTGTCTAAGACAGCAAAAATTGCACGAACCCGTAAGACGAAATCTTCAGGAAAGACAAACTTGCACTCGTGTTACGTGAAAAATGCACTCGTTTTTAGCAAATCAGAAGCGTAAAATTTTTTCAGGTATGTTATTACGAGGCAAACTGAATTCCATGAACTTGACTGGACTAAGCCTATCCTAAAATAGTTTAAATTAGTTTATCTCATCTTTCTTGCCCACGTTTTAATGGTGCAGGTTTTAAGTAAATTGTGTGACTGAGTTCGCAATTGCTGAATATAATCAGCGCTCAAACATATAGCAGTCTCCGTAAATTACAACTCAGATTTTTGTTAATCCTCGTTAAATTAACCATATTATTTCAGTACCCTGTGTTTACGAGTCCAATTCAGTCCTCGTAATGAGTTTGCTTGTTATGCAAAGTTTTGCTCTGAAATAGGCGCCTCACACTTTCCATCGCCGACAGATGCATTACTCGAACGAGCGCCATTGTCTTTTGCCTTTGTTTTCACTAACCCTTATCAGTAAATTTAACACACGTACCCTCAGACAACACCTCTGTCATTACTGGAGCCAAATCAGATAATTTTCGCCGGCAAAAAAGCCTCACATGATCTTCCTCTACTGTAGAAATCCATAATGCGTCCTCACTGATACCTGGGATCTTTCCCCAGAGACTATCTTCTCGTTTTGTATGGATTGCAAAGGCCTGAGGCCAATGGCTGACATCCGCTGTCTTGCGCCAAAATAGGATCTGAGCCGACTCGCCTCTTTTCAGACCAATACATTTCCATCGTGTGTCGGTAACTAGGCCGTTGCTTACACTTCCTATAAGCCACGGTTTCTGGTTATAATTTCGACATCTCACGGCCAAGTGGCTTGTTTTTGATTTAACAGTGACATTTACTACATTGTTTTCCCATGTGCTGTTTTGAGTACGAGTCCTATAATCACCGAAGGTGAACACAGTCAGCTCTCCTTTGCAAGTAAAATTTGCTTCGAGCGATTCGCTCGTTTTTCCTGAAATACAAACACAAGTTATCATATACACAATGACGTTCCGTCACTGAATTTCAAGTGATCATGGAGCCGGCAGTGAAAATCTCGGTGATTTTGTCCAAGTACATTCTCCTTATTAGATTTGCATACTTGGTTTTTTAATTCATTCTTTACCGGACAAATAATTAGTCTTTATGTAAACATTTAATTACATTTTTTTACGTTAGGCAGCTTTTTTTTTAACCGTGGGGGTATAACGGTTCTTACACCATTGCACCTGCTATTAAGGGATGTGACATAAAAATCCTAATTTTAGTTGTCCACGATATTTTAACAATACACGATCGGAAGGAAACGAGATGGTATTCATATAACGGTACCTAGATCTATGTGGTGCCTACTCTAACTTGTGATAAATTCATATAGTTCTGGGAATACCGAGAAACAGCGTTCGAGATTTACAAATTGAGTTTACTTTGAATCAAGTGCAAAGAGCTTCGGCAGAACTACCACTACCACAGCTGGTAAAAAAAAAAAGTGCCTTCAGTTAAAGGCAAGCCTCGACATGCAGCCTGTTCAACACAACATGAACATCGAAGTTGGCAGGGCGCAATGTAAATATTTATATTGACACCGTTCTTGCATGTAAGGGTTCTCGTTAGCTCTGGATTTCTCATTACATTTTTCATTCTGAGTTAAGTACAACACGGGCGAAAGAAGCCGAAAATCAGTTGAAATACAAAAATATGTCTGCGATTCACGATCGCTTTTGGGATGCAATGGGGAAGAACTTAATTAAACACATCCACAGGAAAATCATTTCTCACAGGATTTGCTAATTTCAAATACGTTTTACATAGCATCTTTCGATCTCGTTTGTATTTACCTTCAGCTTTGCCGGATAACTTGCCGTACTTGAACATTCATGATTCAAATAATTTGCTTCTATCACAGAAATAAATTTTGTCACGGTTACTGGCTTGTTAGTTCCTTAATTGTAACTCACCTTTGCAAAACGGAATATTGAACAGAAGATAAAATGGAAAAAATATCATGTCTTCGAAAAAAGAAAAACGTTTTTGATCACTTAGCAGGCCACGAGAATCTGTTTCAGGCTGACTTTCACTGAGTAAGTTGTCGCTTTATGTATACCTAAAGGCTGTTGTAACAGTTGTGTTTATTTTTGTTTTTACCATGAGAGTGCACTTTGATTGAAAGGAAACACCATGGACAAAGAGAACTGGAGACATTTATCTATACGAAACAATCTGCAATTAACGTTAGAATTCAAAGTTAAGCAAACAGTCGAATCGTGGTGATGCCACAGAGATAAAACACTCATGAATAAGAATACTTTCCACAACTAATATCCAATTTTAATTTAATGTTGTGTGTCAATTCTCATTTTATAAAAGATATCGAAATAGAAGTTTCCATTACGATAAGATTATCTCTTCATTCGTTACGCACCCTGTGATTGGTTATTCTTTGAGGACCGCACACTTCTGTGCAGCGTGCTAAATTTTAAAATTTGGTGCTGAATTACGGGTTACTTATCTCCAATTGTTCTCGATTTTCGACAGCGAATAAAAGATAATTTTTTTATATTGTTTCCTTTCTTTTCCGTAATAATACTAAAACATGAAAAATGCTGAGTAACGTTTCTGAATTGTCATATGGATTCTGCTGTAATGCGTTATTAGAAATCGCTTCTGAATCCTGTTAATTAAGGATATTTGTTATTCCTCGAGGTTCTTTGATTTTTGTACCGTAAGGTATGCTACATATCCGTGTTTTCGAGGAGAGAAAAACAAAGTTGGTTCGTAACCTCCACAATGGCCCTGGAACCCGTTGACCACTATTTTGTGGTATTAGACAAATTTCGAAAATCGCAATTGCAGAAAATATTACATTATGCATTATTGATGAACCTTGTTTTTAAATTTGACCTCGGATGTCAGAAAAGGTCGGGTAAAATTTCCGCACAGCCCCATACTATTGTAAAACAAATCTGTTTTCCCAATGGCAATGTATTGTTTTTGTCATTGTTTTCTCTATTCAAGAACTGAATGCATAATGTAGTATGGGGCTGTACGGAAATTTTACCAAAGGTCGCATTATCATAATTACAGACGTCCTCGTACATTTCTCCTCTTTTTTAATTTGATTTGTGGGTTTTTTAAATTATAAACAAATTGTAAACTAGGCAGGCTATTTTTGAACGGATAACTTTTTAGGATGCCAACGTGTTTGTTTCAGGACGAAAAGAGAAGTTCATGATTACCGGACGTAAACAATAGAGAGTTCCTTAGTGCTTTTTCTTCCTTGCGGCAAAACTTATCACCTTTTGAATTTTGTGGGAACCAATTCACGCTCATTTTCATGAGAGCAAGCTTTTAGTGATAGGAGACAATGATTAGGGAAATAGCGAATGAGTATGTCAATTTATATTACTTGCTCTGAAAAGAAAAAGCCATTCATCCTGGAATTGTAAATTCTATGGCTGATTTAATTAAATTGTGCAACATCAGGGTTTTGCTAAACATCCTGAAAATCGCTGCTTCGTAATCATCACCCTCGCAGAAAAAAAATTGTCAATAAGCTGCTTTAAATCATTCATTTGTTTTAATTTCTAATTTCATTTGTCAACATTTTATCTATTTACTTCACGTATCCTTTGTATCGAACGTAAAAAAAAGTGTCTCGGTGAAGAGCTCAATACTCCAAAGCTCTTTTAGGTGACTGTATATGAAATAGAGTGAGGACATTTTGTAGTCCCTAGTGCCCGCAGTGCACCCATGGTCAGTGCCCCCATGATGCAATACTGCATTATGTTTACCGTGAGCTCGATTTATGTTATGATTGTTTTTTTAGTTCCTGGCTGTGATCTCTTCCTACAAACTAAACAAATCAACAACGACATTACCTTTTCTGTATCTCTTAGACAGCGGAACTGTGATTATGTTATGACAAATTTCAACCAGCATTTGTTACTGGTAGGTGAACGGTATTTCAGCCAAATAGCTGATTTAAGTGCTCGTGTGATTATTATCATGCTCTGAAACCGGAACATCATTGGATGTTATTCAAAATCAAATATTTCATCTGAATGGCGAAATTCAAACTCTGTCATAGTATGTGTAACCAGGTCTTCTGACGTAATTCCGTGGATCTTGTTCTTTTGTGACTCCAATCAACTCGCAACTCCTTGTGGGTAGTACTAAATTATGCTCAAAGTTGAACGAAAGGCACCGGTAGTCAACCAAGCACCTCTCGAAACAGCCCATAACATCACTAACCTGATGCTGACTCAGAATGTGGTTACGTAAAGAGTAGCCTTCGTCATCAATTGTAGCCTGAAAGATCCCTGTTAAGATTAACAGAGTTCTGTGGTTGATATTGGACGGCCCTTTGGTGTTCAATATAGATCCCGCCGAAACCCAAGCATAAACTATCCTCTCTAACTTTAAAATGGTGTACAATGCACCACTGTTTCCGCAGTATGTAGGGGTATTTAGAAAATTTTTTGCTGTCTACCCCCCCTCCTCAAAAGGGTTTTATTTTATGGGATGCCTATTTTCAACCCCTATACTGATCAGAAATAATTGCATTTATCGCTGCTACTCGATTATACTTCGATAATGATAATATAATACTACTAGAACTTCGATGATTCGCCAGGCAAATCTTTTCGGTATCCTCTATCAACATGAATTAGCGGTGGCTAGAGGTTTTAGCAAGTTTCATAACTGTATCATGCTCTTGGTGTTGTTGTCCAAACCGTTGTTATTTTAAAGTAAGTTCGTTTGATCACCTTTAGAGGAATCTGGATCTTTAACATTGATAGCGTGAATATACGCTGAAAATCGGAAGATTTGTGAATTTGACGTATTTCCAGATACTACTAACCTTTGGACATTGGAATAACAAAAAGCAACAGCCGGAAACAATAGCTTATTAACTTTTCAAGACTCTATCCACTTCAACTTTTTTCTGTATTAGGTTTATTATTAATAATCAGATATTGCATTCTAGTGTTGTGCTTTGTTTCATCCGCCCTGTGAAAGGCCAGTGTGACATATTAAAGCGACAGCCGGAAACAATAGAACTTAGACCTGATAATTAATCATTGCGAAAGATCAACAGAACTGGTACAAACGAATGAGATTCTTCTTGGAAATAATTTTAACAGAGTTTTGTTACAACTGACTTTTGAATGGAGCAGCAGTCATCTTTAGTACAACTAGACGTTTCATTAAAAGTCTTGTATTTGTAGAAATTTCGTCGTCAGCTTTCTGTGGGTCCACTTGAACCGTTTCTATTAATATAAATTTCTCCTCTCACCTCAGTCAGTTTTCGTCGACAATGTGGGAAAGGTGATGAAGCAAAGAGCGTTCTGTTTAATATGAGGCGGGACAAATTGTTCATGGTATAGGCAATAAAACCTGGTAACTGCATGGATTTTTTTTCTGAAGAATGCTAAGCTTGACATCTCGTTAAAAGCCTTTTTCAATATCTAATTTCCGGCTTGACGATTACGTGTCAAATATAAAAATGAATTTTAGATGGAAACTGTTTGTGCTCCCACTCTGGTAATATGGTTTCAATGGGGTGTTGGCTTTTACGGCTAATAGTTAAAATTTTGGCCAATCTACGGCCGACGGTTAATATCTTTCCATTGTTGCCGCAGGAAATTGTTTCTTACGGTTACCATTTTTTACATCCAACTGTTAAAACTTGTCTATTTCTATGCCCAACTGCTTAATTTTTTGACCGTTTTACGGCAACGGTGCATTCAAATGCTTTTTAATTAGCTCTTGAAACCTACATGTGTAATCAAATTTTTAAAAAAATCCACTTACCCTCTCGCACGCGCTTTAGGGTATTGGCAGTAACTAAGCCGACCACGAGTTTTGAATTTAGCTTCCTGCCCCACCCCCCAACAAGCACTTGAGTAACTAGAGTATATTTGCGATTAACTAACAAGCGTTTTGTTAGTGCGAGTTAACGCCAAAAAGCTCGCGATCGTTTGTTCAACCGGCCATTTTTGATTTGCAGTTAGAGTGGACGGTGGGGGTAGGGGGCGGGGGAGGGGAGGAAAAACGTAAGTAATCTTCACTCCCCTACCCCCACCCCTCTCCTTATTTTTGACCGTCGACCGCCCCCTTGGTATAAATTTTTTCTCTCCCCAGCCTTCCGCTGCCATTAAAAATCAAAGATGGCGGCCATAATATTCGTTATGAAATTACTTAGTACTGGTTAGCCTAAATTACGGCTACCCTGCTGGTCCCTTCCTTTATTCCTTCTATTCCTTTTATTATGTAGTTGTCTGCTTTTTTTCCTCGCTTTCGCCCGAAGTGTTTCCACCATGTCCGCAGGCTGAAGTGAATTAGAATGATTTAATATCACCTGAATTGCTCATGTAAAATTATTCTAAATAAGTTTGCTCAGCAATACACTCAACATTATTTCTAGAATAAACAAAAACAGTAAATCCAAAAAGACATGCATGGAAAGTCGATTATCTTTGTCGAGAAAATAAACAAAAGCACATTTCTCAATTTCAACCGTGTTCTAAATATATCTAAGTGCCAAGAATATTAAAATAATACAGATAGGCGCTCGATCTCTCAAACAAACTTCAAAACCAAAACACAAAATCCCTGTACTCATCCTATCCGTAAAGAACTTAAAACATCTGCATGGTCAGTAAGACTCAAAAAGTGAAAATCAGCATGTTGCCATAATAATTACGATTTTTTTACATGTTTTGACAGTTGCCAACAAGTTTTGACAAGTAACCTTAAAATACAAATGCTTCCTTAAATGTATGCAAATGAACTGCATTCCTGAGATCTTTTGTGAGGAAAAGAAAACCGCGTGGATTTTTGTCAAAATTCGACTCCGCGCGACTTGTTCAGCTTTTTCCACTTTAATTAATACCGCTGTCAGTCTTTCAGGAAATCCGTTCAGGATAACGGCAGTAGAAGAAACACGTAATCTCATTAGCACACCTATCAGTAGAGTGGTCTGACTTTGCAGTTCATTTATCAAA